TTTCAAACTACATTTTTTCATCCCTGTCCTTCAAAACCTTCAATTTAATAGCTGTTAGTGAGAAGTTTCATTTTAAATATGCACACATAAGTAAGCAAGTCTTAAGTTGACTCTTTTACTTTTTTGATACACGGACTATTCAGAATAATAGTAAAAATCGAAAATAAAATAATAAAAAAAACCTTAAATAAAAAATAAAAACCTTAAAATTTTGAGAATCATAACTAAGTACGTAATTTGTAAAATCAAAAATAACAGAAGTAAAATAATTTTATTTGCAGAATAACATATCCTGTAAGGAAAAATACATAAACGGGAACCAATAAATAGCACACGAATTTTATTCACAAAAAGAGTTATTTCATTGAACATTAATTTTTTCAAAAATTTATGTTCATCTCATGTAAAATTTACGTCTTTTTGTGACATCTTTTTCGCATAGTTAACTGTAATATATCCCTATAAATTCTTACTTTATTTAGAAAAACACACTCTATTATGCAAATAATTTTTTTTATAGATATGTTGTATGTCACAATAATCCGTTTTCATCTAACTATTCTTGTAAGTAATTATTATTACGAAAATCTTGAGATTATGTGGGTTGATATCTATTTTAACGTACTTTACACGCCTCTTAACCTGTATTTTATTATATTATGTGTTGATCATTTCGTTCGAAAGTAGATATCCTCGCTTGTAACTAACCCATCAAAACTCACAAAAGCAAAAATTTAAATTAATAGAAATATTGTTAGAGATGATTTGACCTCACCTGCTGCTTCCATATAAGACCCCTTATTATTTTTGTCTCACTGTTAACATATTTAAGAAATAATAACAGCTCACAATAAACCTAGTTATACAGGGTTGTTCACCACATACGACACGGAGTATTGTAGCTAAACGATTAGATTTTTACAAATTTTAAGTTTTGGGTTCGTTGAAGGACTATTAGAGCTACAATTTAGAAATAATTTTAGAAGATTCAGAGTGTCCCAAATAAGTAAAAAATGCTATAGTTGTATTTTTTTAAATGGAACACCCTGTATATTATTCTATTTTTAGATTCTACGATTGAGATAAAGGTACATTTTATAAGGTTTATCAGACTTAAACCTTACCGTTTTTGAAATATTTTCAATTTTGTGAAATTGCAGTAAAAATTTTAAGGCTTCATTTCTCATTCAAGGGTATCAAAGTTTTTAATACTAAATATTTACTGAAGTTTATTAATTGATCAGTTATTGTGTTGCAATAATAAAAATTTTACTACCTCATACAGAGTGTCTAAAATTTTATTTTAAATAATTACTAGCTTTAAACGGCAATAACTTGTTTGATTTAAATGGAACACCCTGTATATTTTATGAGAATCAGATGCCCAATTTAATTGTCTATCAAATTGTATTATACCGTTTTTTACCTATTCCTTCAAGTTTTTGTAGAAAATGTATTTTCTTATAATTTAGACCTCATTTATCAATATACCCATGGAATATTGACATTTTAGATTGTTTTTAAAGCAACAAATGTACAAAATGTACAGGCTAGTAATATTATCGTTTTTAACAAAATGATAATATTACTAGCCCATTTGTATGCAAAAAGAAAACTATTTAAATCTTCATAAAAGAGTATACCATTAAGTAAATATACCACCATTATTTCCGCCCAAATACTAATTAATTACATACTTAATTATGTTCGTGAATAAATTATTCTAAATAAATGTGGATTTGAATCAGAAATCAATATAATAATAAGTTATAAAAATGAATGTCTCTGTTGTTACAAATAAGCATTTGTCAAAAAATGAAATATCATTTTTAAGGTGTCACTTTTTACCACACTGTCTAATACACATAAAAAATTCAGTTTTTCAGTTTTTGGAGCAATTATTATTAATCAACGCAAACAGTCAATTCGTGTAGTTTGAATACTGGAATCATATTAATTGGTCCTCTTTAACAAATATTTAAACAGTTTTTTTTTTATTTTTTAATGAAATAAACAAACTATATCGACAATATTAGTATCTGTACTCTTTAAAAATTTGGTACATCTTTAAAAATAATCTAAAATGTCAGTATTCCATGGGTATATTGATAAATGAATTTAAAATTACAAGAAAATGCATTTTCTACGGAAACCAATTTGGATTCTCATAAAATATACAGGGTGTTTCATTTAAATTAAACAAGTTATTGCCGTTTAAAGCTCGTAATTATTTAAAATAAAATTATAGACACTCTGTATAAGGTAGTGTAATTTTTATTATTGCAACACAATAACTGATCAATAAATAAACTTCAGTAAATATTTAGTATTAAAAACTTTGACACCCTTACAGAAATGAGGCCTTAAAATTTTGACTGCAATTTCACAAAATTGAAAATATTTCAAAAACGGTAAGGTTTAAGTGTAATAAACCTTTATCAAGTTTACCTTTATTTTAATCGTAGAAACTAAAAATGTAATAATATAGAGGGTGTTCCATTTAAAAAAATACAACTTTGATATTTTTTATTTATTTGGGACACTCTGTATCTTATAAAAATATTTTTAAATTGTAGCTCTAATAGTCCTTCAACGAACCCAAAACTTACAATTTGTAAAAATTTAATCGTTTAGCTACAATACTCCGTGTCGTATGTGGTGAACAACCCTGTATTATTATTTTATCTTCTGCTAGATCTAATAGGCAATTAAGTCATTTGTTAATATGAAGTAATGTGTATGAGTGTTCAAAATATTGTTTTATTGTCTAAGACAATAGAACTACCGTATGATCGAAAGAGAAACGGCGTCCAATTGGCTTAGAAGTGAACATAGATGACATTCCCCAGATAATTTTAATGTAAAATGACGACGATCTTCATGCATTTCATAGTCATCGCTGACACCGTTTTTTTTTCGATCATATTGTATAACACAGCATCGTTGATTGAAAGATTTTTTTTTTCTTGAATCAACGATAGCATATTTTTTTATTACACGTTTATTATACCACAGGACGGCGTAAAAAAATGGCGTCAAAGGCGGCTGGGAAATGACAATGGATGATAATTCTAGCGAGGACAAGCTCTAGACGCATTAGTTGGCCGGAGTGTTATAATTTATTTTTATATTGAGTAATAGTGATTTTTAAATGGTGTATAGTTTCAAACTATGTCATTTTCAACCGTATATTAAATCTGTAAAAAATGGCAGAAGGATTCTGTCAATCTGGTCAATTTGTCAAAAAAGTAACAATGTACAAAAAATACTCCCAAGATTACAATGTTCTAATCTGCTCTAATATCAAAAGCAGTCATTCAAGAATTATCCTTTATAACTACGCCTAGTAGATAATAATTATCTGTATAATATTTAACTTCGATCAAGAAATTTGGGCATAGAAAATACTTAAAAAATATGTTTTTAAATCTTTCATCATCGGTCATTAATCCTTAAAGAACTAATCTCTACGCCACTGCAAAAATGTTATACACCTGTTTTAATGTGTGATGTTTTAAATTTCTGTGAATTCCTTGCTTCCAATAAATCAAATCGTGATGTTTACACTGACCTTATTGATGAGAAAAGAAACAAGCATTTTGCAACAGCTTTGCTATATACAGTAAAGCAGATCAAAGCGAGATTCAACAAAATTACCATTGAATTAAAAAATAAGATCGCATAGAAGGTGAGTATACTGATTTATAGAAGCAAATAAATATAAATGTACAAAAATATAGTCAGTCCAACGATTCTGGGAAAATCTGGACAGAGAGCCTCCAAAAAATGAGAGAAAATACAATTAGCAAAATAAAGACACTGCTGTCACTGTCAAGTATCCTCTCGTTGGACAGACTATACAGGGTGAGTTTCCTACGATGTTCTCTGTGGGTATCTCGGAAACTACTGGAGATAGAAAGTCGGTTAAATGGGGAAATGATTGCAGTTTTGTGGGGTCATAAATATGCGCCTTTCAGATTTTTGAAAAAGTTCATGGCTTACTAGATATTTCGAAAAGAAAACAAATTTTCGCTATTTCAAAAAGTGTCCCTAATTCCATTATAATCTATTTTAGACAAAAAGTTTTCAGGTAAAAGTTGTAGATAATCACATTCCTAATGGGTTTGTCAGGATGTCATAATGACAGTCATGTTGGACCACTCTATTAATGCGAGAGTATCTAAATTTAACTTTTCTAACATGTCTTGAAAACCGTTCTCTAAAAAACATAAGTAACGTTCACCGGTCAACGTATCCTCGAAACCGTATAGCCAAGAAAAGTTGAACCAATATTCCTACACGCTTTTTTTCATTTGAAAAATTCATGTTTACAATTTTTGTTTATTTTAATTTACAAAGTTTGGAAGGGACAGTTTCAAATTTCTGAGCAACGACGATTGAACTTGTTTCCATGGCTAACTAAGTGAAATTAAAATAAAAACACTAAATCACCACAATACAACAAAACACTTTTACTTTTACACTGGACGCGCGTTTCGCTAACCATGTTAGCATCATCAGCAGATGATTATAAACTCGCTTCACTTCAGTTTATATATATATATATAACGCCCTCTACAAGTAGGAGTCATATTGACATCAAAATCAAATTTGTCATATCAAAAAACATCCAGACACCAATTTTCATCCAAATATTGACGTTACTTCATAAATTATTTGGAAAAAATCGAAATAAAAATGAAACTTCTACACCCTGTATCTCCGAAACTAAGCATTTGAGGACATACGTTTATACGAACTTTTTTACTTGTTTTAATCTGCACACTTTGCTGTCGAAGTTTCCGGAATACAGTTCGGACCACCCTGTATATTCTTGATGAATATTGTTTTACAATTAAAAAAAAACTTTTAACAAGAACTCATTTCAAATAAAAAATTAAAAAAATATATATAAAAGAGGATTGCAATCTACAATGTCATATATACTTCTTATAAGAAATGAGAGTAAATTTAAAAAAAATCATAATTATATATCATACCATTTTTTATGATGAACCATTTACAAAACTACGGCACCTCTGCAGAAATCCCCAATTTTTCTTCACCGAAATCACTCGGTTCACGAGATGAAGCAACAAAACTAAAAAAATTGACCGGTAACGCACGCAGGAGAAATAAAAGGAGCGAATTGGCGATGAATGTGTTTTCTGGCGGAGGATCTCCGATATCCCACCTATTAACAACAATCTTGCATAAATTTTCGACTGTACCAAAAGCGTAACAATAGTTTTAACGGTGATTAAACCCTAGTATTTCGATATCTCGCACATTCACTCACAGGCACGAAAAACAGGCACGTTAAAATTTCGATGGATTTTAAAGTTTAATATATTTTGTTCTAATTGGCCGATTTTTTATGATTTTTTAAGCAGTTTTTAGCTTAAATTATTTGAATTTTTATTATCTCTTTCTAAATTAATGAAGAAAATTCCACACCTGTAATTTTTAACCAACCAAAACTTGTTGTTTGACAAATCACCATGGCAGCGGATAAATTTTAGTGAAAATGTTTTCCTTGTGGGCACCCAACAACGAATTATACTGGAAATTTTTGACGTTTAATTAAGTTTCATATTCTAAGTAATAATTAAAATCATAGATTTACTGGACATATATATAGAAAGAGTCAAACATTTGGAGAAAAGGATGTACCTCAAGAATCGTTCTGAATCATCGCTACCGTTGTTTGGGGTGAAATTTTTGTAAATAAGTTTTTTTGATAGATGTTAGTGATGGGAACAACACCAAATAATGAGAAAATTTAAAAAATATATACCAAAGGCCTAGAACGAACAAAATGTCCTGAACAATCTAATACTACGTGTGGGGTGTGATTGATCACGTTTTAATTAATGCATTGAATAAGCCGTATACCTACATAGAAACTGATTAATCTAACCCCAGTCTATTTTAAAGTCATGGTTTAAATTTTATAGGATTCTTTAGCATTTGGGGTGAGATTGATCAATGAAAAATAATTATTGCTGTGATATAAAACAAATACAAGATTAGACTTTCAAACTAAAATATATATTTTCTGAATCCCAAAAAAAAAGAAAGAACTGTTACATAAAACTAAATACACACCGGAAAAGTTTAGGGATATTACAATTTTATCCAGCCATCGTCAGTAATTTTATTATTTGCATTTCTGATATAATAAAATTAAAATAAACAAATAGTTTACAGGACGTATTGGAAATAAAAATGCAAAGTTTACCGAATTTTTCAAATTTACCTTGATTTTTATTGAACTCAAAAAATACACACATTTTTTTTATTCTAAACTGTAAATTAAAAAAAAAATAAAACCATTTTTACTTAATAAAGGTTATGGCCTCCTCTACTGTTCATTACAGCCCTACATCGTCTCTCCATGCTCCTGATCAAATTGTCGATCTCTTCTTGAGGTACAGACTGCCACGCTACATTCATCCGAACCAGATCCCTACGAGTTTCACGAGGCATGTCCATTCTCAAAATTTTTTCTTTGGACCGCGTCCCATACGTGCTCGATGGGGTTGAGGTCAGGAGATTGTGCTGGCCAGGGTAAGATGTTTAATTGATGAGCATTGATAAACTCACTTACCACTCTGGCTGTATGAGGCCGTGCATTGTCATGCATGAGAATGAAGTTTCTCCCAAAATCATTGGCATATGGTAACACGACACGCTCAAGAATTAAATCACGATATGTGTAATTCCTGTTAGAAACCTTTCAAGAAAAACGAGATCGGTTTTTCGGCCTAACTGGACTCCTCCCCAGACTATAACTGTTCCACCTTGATAAGGGTGCACTTCCTGAACATGATCCAACCGAATAAGATTTCCCGGTTCTCTCCATACTCTAAGCCTTCTCGAATCCGGATGAATTCCAAAGCGTGACTCATGCGTGAAGAGAACATTGGCCCATTGTTCATTCGACCACCGAACATGATCTTGAGTCCACAAATATCGTACTTCTCGATTTCGTCTCGTTAAGGGTTGAGCTCTCCAGGGGCGTCTGCTTCTTAAGTTGACTTCTCGTAATCTATTGCGAACAGTGTCAGGACTAACGGTTACATTATGTGTTTCCTTGAGAATTAAACTAAGCTCTGGTGCTGTAAGAGTAGGTCGGTGTCCAGCATTTAATTGTAAAAAATAATCTTGCTGATGGGTAGTAATGCGATGTCGCCCTGTGTGCCTTTCAGCAACATCACCACTTTCACGGTAGCGTGCACTTAATCGCGATATCACACTTTGCGTTGTATTTAATGCTCTAGCTACGTTGATTTGGCGCATTTCAGCTTCCAGCTTACCCATGGCCCTTAGCATTTCGTCTCTGTTAAGATGTCTGCGCTCCATAATGTCGTTTAATGCTAAACAGAGTTATTTGAATGAATTCTGGCCAGTTATCATAAAAACATAGCCAGTACAGGTTAAATTCGAACAATTGATGCTAGGTGCTTTTTATACATTTGACAAAAAATGCACAACCACTTCTGCAAATATCCCAAATTTAGAAATAACTAGTGTGACTACTTCGTTTCAATCGAAGTAGAAAGAATCGGCCTACAAATATGTGGTTGTTTATTCAAAACATTTATTTTTAACTTTAATAAAATGATATCCCTAGATTTTTCCGGTGTGTTTATTATGAAAATATATAAAAAAGTGGGATATTCTTACATTTCGTAAACATCGATTTCTTTTTCAAATGAATAAGTTACTTTATCGTTAAGATTGGTAACACTAGGAGTTGGTAGAATGGCTGTCACGTCTTCTAAACCAGCTACAGATTCATCATTAGGTTGGGGTGAAAATAGTTTTCGTGACTTGTCACATGTCATCATCATTTTAGCCCTCAAGAGCTCAATCTCTTGTATTCTTTCGAGAGAATTAAAACCCTGTACAGCGGCTATGTAGCGATACACCGTCTACTTCCTAGATCCTCCCAGGACTTTTACTAATACGAATTTTCCAACTTCGATATATCCAATTCGGGGCCCAAGGTATTCAGATTCATGTCGGATAGCCTCTTCAGCGTCTTCTTCTAAAGGTTCGTCATCTGAATTGTCGTTAGTTACTGGTCCATTGACATCTGATTCGCTAGAGCTATCATTGTTTGCTGTAACACTTCTGCCAGGCTCCACATTTATCTTCTGGCATTTTATCTTTCTTCTTGTCGGTGCTGGTGAGAATCGTTGTTGTTGTAAATAGTTTAAAAGGGTATCACTGATATCGGTCCCAGGGTCATTATCATTCGCTGGAATTTTGCGTAAAATACGCTCTGGATCAATTGATATAATTGCAGTTGCTTGAAATGAACTGATAAGGTCATTCTTAATGGCATTATCGCATATGTTTTCCATTTCAGCCAAAGTAGAGGCAAGCAGGTGCGGAAAGTCCTTCTTATCTATTGACGTTTGCTGTTTATGTGCCGTCTTCCAATTCGTCAAAACTCTTCTCCACGCATTTTTGAATGAGCGGAAAAATCCCACGTCTATCAATCTCGCCCGTACTAAGTGATTAATCTGACCCCTTCGAACAAATTAAAGTATAACCTCACAATTCGTGACCCAAAATAACCAAATTTCGGAATATGACTTAAAGAAACATCAACAAATAGCGCCATGCAATCAGTGTGTTCGTTACTATATAATAATTTGACTTACCAATCAAAGTTCTAGAAGTTGTAAATGAAAGCAAAAACAGTTAAACAATTTGAATGGATTTTTAGACAAAAAACAGGGATTTAACGATGTGACTTGTACACATTCCTTTCGGCCATGTTTCTACTAAACACACATGGCGGTTTAACATTAAACGAACCGACTCGACGATTCGCGCGTCACATTTGAACTTATAAAAATGTAATCTAGTGATCAATCTCACCCCCGAAGCAAACGACTATATATCTTCTATTTCATCGTCATTGATATCATCAGCTCTGTCCATTGGAACTTCAGCAACATTATTGGTAAGATACTATTATGTAACATCCTTAGGATGACATCTTGGACAAAGGGTTTTCGTTTTTTTTTTGTAATTTTTCCGATAAAAATTATGGGGCCCGAGACAGTTCTTTATCCGCCTTTAATTAAACTTGATTCAGTAGCATAACATAATTTTTTCAAAGGTAGTTCGGAAACATGCTGTTTGACGTCTCTCTGTTTTGTTCTTAAAGAACTTTCAGCAAACGGCTTTTTTGGCCTGTCCCTTTTTCACATTACCAATCGTGTTTGTTCAGTATGAATATGAGTAAATCAATCAGTATGAGTAATTTGAGATAGCTTGAAACGCCACTGTGCATTCAAAATCTAGTTGGAAACTTTCTACGCGCTTTCCATCTATAAAACCATTTTGGACACAAAAACCTTCACCGCAGCTTTTAATTGCTTTTTGAAGTTCAAAGGTAGGCCAATTCGGCTATTAAATTTGTCTTTTGCATAGTTTAAAATTCGTTCTTTGCACTTTGAAGAAGATAATTTAAAGACTTTTTCTCCTAGCAGCACCAGAAATAATTCCTCTCTATTTGCAGATAGTAACACCGTGGTGATAGTAATGTCAGGCCAGGATCGTCACGACTACCTGGAAATAAAAAGGCTTTTCTCGAAAAAGGCTCAATTGGGATAGCTAGTTTTGTGTATAATGACATTTTAAGAATTAAGTAAAATTTTGAATTTTATTAATTTTTCTCAATTCTCGCAATAATTATTTACAATTTGATTTAGTAGTTATATTTTACTTATAAAAAAATTGGCGCCGGGAGGCACATATAGCCGCCCATAATTGATATTTTTTTTATCGCAAAAACTGCGACTTTGACTGATTTTGATGTTATTACAAATTTTGTTGCAAATATTATTCCTAATTTTAAATTGAAAACCGCGTTTCGCTAGCTACTGTAATTTTGGAGTTACGATTTTTTAAATTTTTTAACCCCCTCCCATACCCCCTTAAATATCAAAATAATAGATATATTTTATTTTTATCTAATTATCTATTATTCTAAAATAAATTATCACTACAAAATAAATATCTGTAAATAATTACATAATAATTACATATTATAAATAATTACATAATTAATCCTTTGTATAAACAAAGGATTATCCTAATCTTTTTTAAATCTAAATTTATTATCAATTATTATTTCTGGACAAATCGTGAAATAAGCTTTCCATAGTCCAACTCTCTGGCTTCATTTGTACCTCTTTCTCTGGATAGAGCTTATTTGTCAAAAACGACAAATCTATATTACCCAAATTGCCAAAATTTATTTTGTCTCCCTGTATATTTCCTAACTGATTGTCCAGTTCTTTATACGTGTCTTTGTCTACAGAAGCACTGAAAGGAATACATTAAAAACATAATAAAAAAAGGCAAAAAAAAATAAGGAATTTACATAGGTTTTACATCTGGCAAGTTTAGTGGATCGTCCTGTAAATCATCAATATCTGGAATTACTGGAATATCGTTTTCGTCATCTTTGCTGGTACTGTCATTTTGACGTTGAAACCTTTCTCTAAAATTATAATGTATTGAATAACAGGTCTAAAATATTAATATACTACTGTACTTACAGCTCTATAATATTAGTTGAACTTTTACTGGACCTAAAATAAACATAATGATATAATTACTGATGAATATTAATTGGAAATTTACTAATCTGTGTGTTAGTATTTCATTGATTGACGCAAATTTTATAAAACACACGAAAATGGGACCCCCTGTACAGTGTGTGCTAAATTGGTCGCTTTTAAAGGGGAACTCCCTTTTCTATAGGAGATTTCCTCGAACTTCCTTAGAACTCACTTTTCTATAGAGAAAAACTAATATCGGTGTCTAAAACTCAATTTTTATCAAAAACATGATATACACAGGGTGGTCCGAACTGTATTCCGGAAACTTCGGCAACATATTCTGCAGATAAAAGTAAGTAAAAAAGTTCGTATAAATGTATGTCCTAAAATGCTTAGTTTCAGAGATACAGGGTGTAGAAGTTTCATTTTTATTTCGATTTTTTCCAAATAATTTCTGAAGTAAAGTCAACATTTGGATAAAAATTGGTGTCTGGGAGTATTTTGACATGAGAAATTTGATTTTGATGTCAATATGACTCCTACTAGTAGAGGGCGCCACCTACATGTATTTTAACTCTTTTGAAGTGTAATAACTTTTTGTCCATACCTGTATAAAACTACCGAGCGAAAAAATATATGTGACTTTACGTATAAAATATCTCTTTGTAAAAATCGCTACGAGCAACCGTTTTTAAGATATTTAGAATGGAAATAGTCAATACATGTCATTATTGACCAAAAATAAACACGTTGAGCAGATATAGTTATTTCACTGAAATAATAAATTTGGGAATTTTTTATTTTTTTAAATTAATCATAAATTTTTCTGCAAAAAATGATGATAAAACAGTTTCTGTTGAACTTTTGACACAAACATATTTCAAATTGAAGATTTCAGTCTAATAACTATTTAGTCAACACGTTTAATTTATGTCAATGATGACAGGTATTGATAATTTCGATTCCAAATATCTCGAAAACCAAGACTCGTAGCGATTTTCACCAAGAGACCTTTTTCACATAAAAAACGTCGTAAATGTTTTTTTTTACTTACTAGTTTTATACAGGTATGGACGAAAAGTTATTACTCTTCAAACCAATTAAAAAATATGTAGGTGGCGCCCTCTACTAGTAGGAGTCATATTGACATCAAAGTCAAATTTCTCATGTCAAAAAATTCCCAGACACTAATTTTCATCCAAATATTCACGTTACTTCAGAAATTGTTGGGAAAAAATCTCTCTCGAAATAAAAATGAAATTTCTACACCCTGTATCTCCGAAACTAAGCATTTTAGGACATACATTTATACGAACTTTTTTACATATTTTTATCTGTAGAATAGGCTGCCGAAGTTTCCGGAATACAATTCGGACCACCCTGTATATCTGTACCATTTGTTTAAAATGTGCATTTTTAACAAATCTCTGTAACTTTTTTGCTATGGAAAACTTTGTATTTAATTTTATGAAAACATTTCAAAAGCACTTTTTTACGTAGAATTTAATGGCTTAGGTATATTTTTTTTAAATTAATAATTTATGAATTATCAACAGAAAATTTGATTTTATATGGGACGTCCTGTATATTTTTAATTCAAAGAAAATAATTTAAAATTATCTTTCCAAAAATATAGCATATTTGATATTTTACTCGATTCCTCTTCGAGATAAAGAGTTTTTAACAATTCGCCCACTTTGAATAAGTATATAGGATTTGAACATCGCCGGCTGTAATGCAAAAAAAGAATTAGCTGTGAGCTGCAATTAAAACGAAAATAATATTTGCAATGAGAGATGCATAATTTTATAATAATTTAAACTATATTTAACAACAATAAAAATAAATAGCAAACCAAGACATGAGATTTTGCTACAGGTATTCGACATAATTATCGACCGTTTCGGAATACCTCGCGGAATTCATGAACTCAGAGGTGATAAAAAAATACCCTCGTGTAACCGCTAAATACTTTTAATTCTTATCTAGATTATACTGAGAATTTAAAAACAAGAACCTTTATTCTTCCACAAAGTTAAAAATCCATAGGCCCCAACTCCGGCGGCCTTGACGGCCAACTGCTGGGATTTTGGTTACCTATTCAATTATAGTCGAAATTGGCTGCAAAAATTTGCTGATAACTTCAGAGTTCTGAAAGCGGTGCCTCGTCTTTCTGGAAAAATATGTTTTCGAGTTCAATTAGGGGCAATAATCAATCATCAATAAATAATGGTCAAAAGCCTAGTAGTTAAAAGTGGCGAACTTTTAAAAATTCTGTATTTGAAAAGGGACTATAACAAAATATCAAGTGAGCTATATTTTTGGAAAGGTAATTTAAAGTCCTTTTTAGTTAATTAAAAATATACAGGGTGTCTCAAATAAAAAGTCAATTTTTCTGTTGATAACTCTTAAATTATTAATTTAAAAAAAATTATACTTAAACAATTAAATTCTATGTAAAAAGGTGCTTTGGACATGTTTTTACAAAAATACAAAATTTTCCATAGCAAAAACGTTACAGCGATTTGTTAAAAATACACATTTTTGAAAAACACTCCGTAACTCATAAACGGTAATAGATATCGATGTGCGGTTTTCACCATCATGTTTTTGATAAAAATTGAGCTTCAGACACAAATATTAGTTTTCGGCTATCTCCTATAGAAAAGGATGTTCCTCTTTAAAAGCGTCGAATTTGACCCACTCTGTACACTATTTCGAAAATCTATACATATGTAAATAAACCAATGCAATAACTGTACCATTGTTCCAATTTTTGTAAACAAAATTAGTGTAAATATTTTAAAGAGGAATCACAATTTAGATTTTCTAGAATACTAGATAACGCTGTTTAACATATTTTAAATTTAATTATTTATTTTTGTACTTGGCAGATTTAGTTCCTTCTTCACCCCATACACTTGTTTTCCTTGGTCTAATAATGGGCCTTTCTTCTTTGTTATCGATATCGAAAGGATTAGTTTCGATCATATCAGAAGAACCAGCTTCTTCTGGTGTGTTTGGATTTGATCTGCGACCCTGTTTTGGTTGATTCTAAAATTCAGTAACATATAAATATATAATTTAAAAATGTCTAAAAATTAAAGGGAATCTACCTTTCTACCAGCTAGCAGGTCAATATCCTCATCCCAATGCATGATTATTTTCGATATTTTGTTTGTCAAAGCTTTGCTTTAAGTTTACGATATAATTTAATGCCCGTATTTTATTAATTTATTTCAGAATCTTCTAAACAAAACACTGTCTGCGTCTCTGCTTGTGTTTACATTGAAATGATTTGAGGTTACCATAGTGACTGCCTATTGATGTCTCCAAGTGATATCAGTATTATAGGCAACTCAATATACAGTATGTCCCCGGATTGTCTTTAAAAGAGGAAATTTTGAGAAAAATACATTCTTCATAAAAATCGCTTGCTCTAAATTGGTTAATCCCGTTAACACTTTTCCAAATTTTCATAGCGTTTTAGAGAAAATTACAAAAAACATGAAAATATGCTAAGTCCTAAAAATTAAAAGGCGTTTCTATGGCAATACCAAAGGGCAATACTATTTCGATTTCATTCTTTGATAGATTTTTTTTGATTGACGTTATATTTTCGCTGTTGTTAAAGTATCACATCATAGATAAATGCAACAAGTTAAGATTGGAAAGCCCGTAAAAATTTTAGGTCGCAAAATTATTTTGGGTCGCGACCGTTATACGCGATTTGGCGCTGCTATAGTGGTCGCTAAGAACAACGACAAACACAAACAGAAATAATTTTCTCTTGTCAAAGTCAGAATCTTCAAAAATCATAATAATCTTTCAAAATCTAAACCGCTCTCATTAAAGAAATTCCGAAAAGTGTTTATAGCGTCCATTTTCAAAGTAATAATTGCTATCTTGTGAGTTTAATTCAAGTTTTATTTACTCCAACCGGTGATAATTGTGAAAAAGTGGCATTAGAAACTTAAAAAGCTGTGCTGTGAACTGTGAACTGCAAAAACCATCGTGGTTCGTGGCATAACGTCGGTTTCCAATGTTTCATAGGTATTTCATACATGCGTCCTTATATAAAATAAAGTTTCTTGTATGCAACACACTGTCTTTTATTTATAAAATTAAACGAAAATAATAATAAATTTGAATAAATAATATTTGGCGATACAATTCCGGAAAAAGCCGAACCGCTCCGAAATTTTCAAAAGTTTTGGGTCGCGACCGTTGCAAGAATAGCGCCAAATAGTGTTTACATTGTCCTTATGGGCACTTTCCAATCTAAACTTTATCACATTTTCCGATAACTATTATCACCCTTTCCGTAGCATTGAAATAAATAAATTTTGTGCTTCTTTAACATTTTAAAACAGCAAAAAATATGATTAGTTATCATTAATTAATTAAAATTCTATCAATAAAAATCTATCAAAGAATGAAATCGAAATGATATTACCATAGGAACGCCTTTTAATTTTTAGGACTACAAGCTTATTTTCATGTTTTTTTTTTCTTATTTACGTTTTTCTTTCGTTTTAATTTTCTTTAAAACGCTATGAAAATTTGAAAAAGTATAAAAGGAATTAATCGTTTTAAAACAAGCAAAATTTTTTATAAAGAATGCATTTTTCTCCAATTATTAACAATAAAAAAGTTTTCCTCTTGTAATGGCAATCCAGGGACATACTGTACATAAAGTACCGTATGATCGAATAAAAACGGCGTCAGCGGTGCCTATGAAATGACGATCGATGAAATTTCCCATATAATTTTACATATAAAATGACAGCGAATAAAAAAAATCATCTTTATTTCATAGCCATCGCTGACGTCGTTTTTATTCGATCATACGGTATAAATTATATTCGTGTCTCTGTTGTAGGCATGTTGTAGGACTTGTAAGAGAGTAAGAGATAAGAATCATACAATTTCGATTGGAGGAATTTAATAAAAGATGTAAAGTTTCAAGATGATGAAGAGTATAGTTGTGGTTATATAGTAATAAATCTGACCAACACATTGTGTATTATATCTATTTTTTACTGAATTTATATTTAACAAAAACAGGGTCGCAGATAAAATATTTGGATTTTATCTGTCAGATCCAGAAGGAACTGGATCTCCTAATATGATCAAAACTAATCCTTTTGAAGTCGATCACAGAGAAGAAACGCCCATTATTATATTTCACATTGACGAGTATATGACACGTATCAGAAAGATGGTTACGCAAAGCGTTTTCTTTCATGAGTTTTTCTGTGACTGAAAAGCCCGATACGTGATGTTATCTCTCTTCAGCACTCCGGACATTCAAAAATCTCATTGCTTTGTTGCCTCTTTACTTTTGAGTTGTCGCTGTTACCTGAGTTTACAATTCTTCTCCATTTCGTTTTATTGTGCGCTGCTCCCTCCCACTGATTCTACTTATTCATGCTTATCCCTTTAAGTTTTCATGGAAAATATCCTTGTACCTTTTCAGTTGTCCACCCGGTTTCCTCTTACCGTCTATAAGCCCACCGTAAAGAAGAAATTTCGGTAGGCAGTTTTCTTGCATCCTGCATACGTGACCAGCCCATTTTAAGCGGAATTTAGTAATCATGACATTGCCACTCTCGTAGCTACCATTTTCAAGGACCGACACGTTTGAGACATGGTTGTGCCATTTGATTCTTAACAGTTGTCTAAGGTGTCTGTATTGCAACTTATTAAATGAGTTTATGTGCTGGCGGTACGGCATCCAGGTTTCACACCCATATAACATGGTGGAGATTCAAGTCATGATTGTAGAAAACCCTGTCTTTTAATTTCCAGATTGCTCTTGAGGCGCTGCTATTTCTGTGCTGAATTTCAGAGTCGATATTGGCTTTTTCCGAAATCAAACTGCCGAGGTAATTGAATTCCCCTACATATTCCAATAGTTCTTCTCCGATTTTTATAGCGTTGTTATGATTTTCCGGGGGATTGCACATGATTTTAGTTTTATCGATGTTCAGCTTAAGGGCCAAAGGCATCACGTATACCCAGGTATATGTGTTCAAAATTTCTTGTAACTGTTGCATTGTTTTTGCAACTAAAGCGCAGTCATCAGCGTATTGAAGTTCTGTGATGAATTTTATACATGTTTGTGTCTTTTTATATTGAACAGACCGCTGTAATTTAGTCGACTTTTTTTATGTTTATGGGATCAACGAAAGATGTCTGGACAAACTGAATGTATTCAACTCACTTCAGATTCATTCGTCATTCATTCGTCAGATTAATTCAATGAGATTGACGTTTGAGAACCAACCTTAATTCAAAAGGAATATCAAGGTCGCAGTTTTCCGTTACTTTTCGTTTAACCCAGGTATCGAGGTAACAAAAAGAAAGTGCTAACGGACAGTCATAAGTCCAACCTCCTTAGGCAGTCTAACAAGAAACGACAACAGCAGAAATCCTGCCGCATATCTCTTCGCTAGTGAAAATCGTCTTATGTGCCTTTAAAAAAGTGTTAACTTCAGCAAAATGCGGGTCCTAGTAATTTCTACTTTTGTGATATTTAGTGTGTGTACAAAGGGTGAGTCTTATTGTCATTTTTATTAATTTATATCGTCCAATATGACGTTTTGGTGGTACTATAAAATGCTGTTCTTTCTGTAAAACAGTATTTTTATGTACAGAAAGATTAATATTAAATAATAGAGGTAATAAAAATTAATACAAACGTATGTTAAAGTAAAAAAGTAGATTCATTTAATGCGGTCCAGTTGCCGGCTTATCTAACAAGAATCGGAAAAGAAATTACATAAAATGTACGTTTTCTTTCACCAGAAACCAAGAAGAAACTAGCTAGTTTATTTTTTCGTAGAATGTCGTAATAGTTTTGAATAAGATAAGGTACGTTAGAGCAAGTCAGAATCAGATAATATGACGACGATTTTGCAACAAGTAATACTACAATTAATATAATCAGTATCAATTAATCTATTTCTTATCATCTTTTGTTAAGAAACACATCAAAAAAATAATGCGGCTTAAATCTATGCCCCATAAAATAACAGATAATAATCTAAATTATTTTTTTCCATAACAACTGTTAAAATTGCCTTATATCTATCAAAAATAGTAGATAAAATAGTACTTTAACCGCAAGGGTAGGTTAAATGATACTTTAACAGCGTGGATAGGTTAAAAACATATTTCTTCTCGCACGTTTTTTAATTGCTTCCATTTTTGAAAACCTTTGTATTACTTTTCATAAGTTATTCGGGATTTAAATGGAAGTAGTTTGGATATGGCGTTTGTCGCCATACCTTATTTCGTTTTGAGCCATTTCTGGCTCCAATTCAATCAGCAATCGACACAGAGAATTACAAAATATTGACTCAAAATTGACAACTAAAGAGACAGCTTTATTTATTTGTCAAATTATATAGAAACCAAAGCCAACCCAGCATAATATTTTTTCTACTCGTAATAAACTCCTTGAAATAATAATTTCTGAATATGTTTTAAAACGTAACTCGCTATGAAAAAAAATATTGTTTTAAACAGGACGATAAAATTGCATTATCGTCTCCCGAAATTAATTCACTAGCGAGTTACCATTTTATCGTCTTGTATAAAAAATAACTATTCTCAGTAAAATTAAACTACTAAAATGATTATTTTTAAGTTAATATACAGGGTGAGTCAACGATAGAGTAAAGTCCATTATCTCATTTGTTTCAAGGTTTACAAAAAAATGTTTAATATAAAACTTATAGGGATGGTTAAGATACACATTTTAAAATTATTATAGAGTATACAAGGTGCTTCAAAAAAGTGTAGCGGTTATAACATAAGGTTTTTTTAAATGCAACACCCTATTTTTTATTTTATTTTTAGATTCTGCGTAAAATTCCATAACTTTTTTATATATAACGTTATATATCTAAAATTAATAGTTTTTGTAATATTTCAATTTATTTAAACAAATGTTAAATTGCAGTGTGGTAAAAAATTGTCAGTGGTGCCATTGTTTCTGAAGTTGGAGTACCAAAATTTGGTAGGAGAGTTTTATAGAGATGAAAAAAAGATATATGTAAAGATACTTTAGTTAAATGATACAGGGTGTTCAAAATATATTTATGAATATCAACTACTTAAAATAAAAAAATATCAAATTTTTTAAATGGGACACCCTATATATTATTATTTTTTCTGATAGATTTGACAAAACTCTTCAACTTTTATTAAGTATGTAATATCCCTATTTTTAATAGTTTGCGATTTATTCCCATTTATTCTATTTTTACCCATATTTTCAATACAATCACCCTATAAAATCATAGTTGCCATGACAAAACAAAACTGTTTATTACTTATCTTTAACAGGTAGCTTCATAATTAGTTGCAGTTGCTGGTATTAGTTAAAATTAATTAACTTTACTCAAATAAACTAAATCGCAGTAGTGAATTTCTTGGTGTATTTCTATATTATGAAAGATGACATTTGGGATTTTTCGTCGGGGCGAATAGCCACAGATTAGGGTAATACTAGATTACCTAATTGTTGAAGGCTACTGATATATGAATTTTCTTAGACATACAGTAAAGTTTTTTCTCGTAGTAATTCTGATTTATAATTCATTTGGTAAAACCAATATTACTACTGCCGCGAAACCGTCCCATTACACACTGAAGATCTTTTCTAGATAATATACATCTATCCTTATAGTAGTTAGGTAAACCTAAATAACCAAAACATGTGGTTTTCTAAGCTTGTCCGTGTATATCAATCAGATTGACTAATTATTAATTTCAAGAAAATCTGTAAAAATCTATTATCTCTACCATTTACACTTATTACAACAAATTAAACTAAAATCCTAATTTTGTTCTTAACTTGCTTAACAGACATGAAATTGTGATAATTATTTCTTTTTGTCATGGTAACTATGATGTTATAGCGCAATTATATTAAAAATATGGGTAAAAATAGAAAAAATTGGAATAAATCGCAAACTAATAAAAATAGGTATATGACATTCTTAATAAAAGTTGAAGAGTTTGGTAAAATCTATCAGAAAAAATGATAATATATAGGGTGTACCATTTAAAAAAATTGAAATTCCTTAATTTTAAGTAGTTGAAATTCCTAAATATATTTTGAACACCCTGTAACATCTAACTAAAATATCTTTACATAGGTCTTTTTCTATATCTCTATAAAATTCTCCTACCAAATTTTAGTTGTCCAAGTTCAGAATCAATTCCATCATTGACAATTTTTTAACCCACTGCAATCTAACATTTGTTTAAACAAATTTAAATATAATATAAACAAAAACTATTAATTTTAGGTATTTAACATTATATATAAAAAAGTTATGGAATTTTACGAAGAATCTAAAAATAAAATAAAAAATATTTGAACTTAAAACTCCAACTAATGTTTACAATAATTCATAATTTTATAGTCATCCCCATATCCCCATAATGAGTATTGGACTGCCATAACCTTAATTCTTATTAGAATATTAAATTTACTTCTATTTTAATTTTTTATTCTTATTTAATCTAATTTTGTATTTATTTTTTGTTACCTAATCAAAACTCGCTTTTCTAAAAAATATTTTTTTGTTGGATAGTGATAGTAAACTAAAGTTCAATAACACAAGATATTTTGGTTATCAAGGCACTATACCTGATTTGAATTCATTATTTATTTTAAACATGACTATTGTCATAGTAACAAGTATATTTTTAACAAGTACGAGTATATTTTTATTTTCAAAATACATATTCATGGTTGAAAAATTCCAGGAATAATTAAACCTCATGTGGTATTTTAGACGGTGGTATTTCTAGTGAAAATATGTTTTCAATTACCTAATTACCGATCTCATTCTACTTATATTTATTATATAATATTATAAAAACTTGTTCACATATTATATATGGATATTTCCAAACAAATCGCAAACTCATTTATATTTTATATATCATTTCATTTATCACATTGACAGGCACCTACTGCGTTTTGTACAGGGTGTCCCATTTTAGTTGAAATCATATGATTTCTCCGTTATTAGTGAAGATAAAAGGGTACGGTTTACATAAACCTATCCCACTTTTTTGTCAAATGGAAGATGCCGTAAATAAAGTTTTCATAGCCATCTTCGTCTAGCCTAGCTACAGGGTCTTTTTGAAAATTTTGCAATTTGGACCACCCCCTGTATTTCCGCTATTATTAAAGGTATTGAGTAGGTACAAATTATTTATCGTAGAACTTTTTACGTAGAATATAGTGGCGTAGTTACGTAGAATATAGTAGCGAATATTTTTAAAGATATGAACTAAAGTTATGTTTTCTTAAATGGTTCACCCTGTATATTTATAAATTATATGATCTAGCTTGCCAAAAATATATATCACTCTCTATATCACTGCAATATTTAAAAGTTTTTATTAAAAAGTCATATTTATTAGTAGACCATGATTGATAATAAAATAAATTAAAGAAAAATTAAAAGTATACTGCTAACTGTCTTTTATTTTATTTTGGGAGCCACTAAACTTAACCCTCTCCCCCTATTTGTAAATCTTGGAAGCTATTGTACCGGAACTTTTAGATATTCCTTTAGCTAATTTACGTGAAATATACTTTCAGCAAGATGGGGCTCCCCCTCATAACTTTAAAAATATTAGAATTTTGTTAAATTATTATTTCTCAAATTAATGAATTGGAACCAATGGACCCATATGATGGCCTCCCGGATTCCCGGGTTTATCCGTTCTCGATTTATGATTTTGGGAATTTTTGAAATATGAAATATATCGTGGCAACTACAACAATGTCAAATACCTGGAAAATGCTTTAATAATGCGAGATTTTAGATATTTTTGCAAATCCCAAACCCATCCCGTTATAATAAATTCCGTTATAAAAAAAAGAAAAATAATAGAGATTCAGTTGTAACAGTTCAAAAGTAAATTATATCAATCCCAAACAAAATTTTAATAATGTGTATGACTATTTTAGTAAAGTTAACGCCACGAATGTTTGGGAGTGATTCATCGGTCGCTACCATGTGAACTAATCTGTTCAAGGTCACATAAAACTTAATTCCAGTGCCGTGGTGTTTCAAGTCATATAATAATCAATATATTATATAATCTCTTGTAATTTGTTGTTTTAACTATCAAAGTCTTGTCAAAACATATATTTGGTTATAAATATAAAATGGAATGCCCCATTGTATTGGTCGCACTGCAAGCACACCAATGGACTGACGCACAAAAACGAATCAATCAAAGAAACGCGATATAGTATCGTCTTTGTCAATCACGCTAACATTTTAGAATAAGTAGGAGGAGCGCAGGCAGATGAATAGACCGGGCCTTTAAAAACCTACGTCTGCGGTAAAAATTTACGTTTTTAATGTAAAAATGATAACGCGCGTGTCGATTCTAACTTCATCAAGCAATGAATCACTCCCAAACATTCGTGGCGTTTATTTTACATACCATTTTGATTTTTTTGTGATTTATCACGGCTTACTAATTAAAAAATATATCTTTTAAATATTGCAA